GTAAACAATGTGTGTGGTATCACCATTCACTTCCTCTCCTTTCCAAATATTCAAGAGCAACTGAGGAAGCTAGGCAGAGCCTCTTCTACCTGCTTACCCTGTGCCCCTCCCAATTCCTTTTAAAGTTCTCTCTCTCCCTTCATTGCTGGCAGATGCTGGCCTGGAATCAGTGTACCTGAGACGCGGTGATGAGTTCCTTCAAGAACTCTTTTCTCAGGGTGTTCAGGGGTATATGTTTGCATTTCTTTCCGAGGGCCCCAAATGTGATAATTACATACTTATTAGCCCTATAAAATAACAAATCTGGAATCTGCACTCTGGAACCAATGGATTTCCTGCTGAAATGAGTTCAAGGGGTGCCCTAGCCAGCATTCTCTATGAGAACCAAAATCCTGCCACAGAAGGCTGCACAGAGAGATCCGCCCAGCCCACATCACACACTCTGCCCTTCTACTCATCTCTATACTTCAAGGGTTCCATTGTGAGTGTGTCTTCTGGCTCTCTGTTCTCACTCTTCTTATCATTGTTGTTTCTCTACTGACTTAATGTATGCCTGCTGGGCTGGGCACTGGTCTTGGGCGCCCCTCCTCTTAGAATACACTGAATTCCTAAGGACTGGGGCTTTCTCCTCTTTCCCTCCTATAGGTGAAGACAGTGTTTGAAGCTATAGTCAGGACATACTAGAGACAATGCCCCTGGAAATAACTTCCTGCTCTTTGGAATGTCTCTAGATTCTGTGGACTCCTCCTCCAACCTAGGCCCAGGTCTCCCCAAATGGCTTGCTCTCTCACCTAGGAGCTACTCTTTTTGGGATACCCTCTCTTCTTGCCCCTCCATTCACACTCTATGAGATAAAAGCCTATTGCTTTTCATTCTTCTCCTAATCATCCAGAAAAGGCCTGGATGTAAGTGGTACTGTTTCTGGCCCAATTCTTTTCACAATCCCACAATGCCCACCATGTGGCAGGCATTCAACTAATGTCTGATGAACACACATCATTGCATAAGATGAATCAAGGTGTTAGAACTTTCCCCAAAGTCTAATACTTACTCCCCATTTCTATTTTATAACCAAGAATGAGTTCATAAAACTCCTTCACAAAGTGGCAACATGGTCTAGACTGGCACTTGCTAGATAATTCATTTATCTTCACACAAAAGCAACAAGTCAGTGCTATCTCAGGTCCCCTGGCACAGCCACCTACAGTCATTCTTCTGCCTCTCTGTTTCTCTCCTCTCATCACACCCTAACCCTGGTGAGTTAGATAGAGCTGTGTGTGTGTGTGTGTGTGTGTGTGTGTGTGTGTGTGTGTGTGCGCGCGCGCACGTTCAAAGGTAGATCTAGGCTCAAGAAACATCTGTATAAACACTAGCTCTCCCAGCCCAGAAACCAGGAAAGCTGACTGCAGAGCCGTTCCTTACACTTTTGTAGTATAGAAACTTAGGTATGGAGAGGTTAAGTGGCTTTTCAATCAAACAGGTTAAACTGATGGAGAAGGGAAAATAGTCCTAAAACTTCCCAGAAATTTCACCCTAAAGCACCAGTCTACATTGTTAGAACCTAGTCAAGGATCCTGGTTCCCACAATGCAAACCTTTCTCAAAAGTATCATCCATGGGTGAGGAACACCGGATCTTTAGGTTTATTTACCATTCCTTAGCCTGACCTTTCAGGAAGAATGTAGCTAATGAGAAACAATCCACTTGGGCTCCCATACCCAGAATTTTCATAAGGATCAATTTAGGATTTCATTGTCTAAACAGAACAAGGGCAATGCTGACTATCTTCCCTTCCAAGGGAAAAACAAGCAACTGGAAGGCAGTCTTGTATATATTAAGAAAAATCTCAAATGTGAGATTCCGTTTATACCACTGTTCTGACTCCTTTCAGATGTCCATGGAAGGATATTTGACTTCATGGAGAGGGAGGGAGAAAATAAAGGGGAAAGGTAGCTGGAACTGTTGTTTCCCTAATCAAAGAGCTGACCTTACACTTGGGCTAGGAGCCAGGACTGACCCAAACTAATTCACCTGCAAGAAATGCTTTGTTTCAATGCAAGTGATCCTCTTCACTTCAACAAAGCATAAGCCCCCTGTAGGCAAGGATACCTTTTGTATCCTGCTACCAGCTGTCACCAGCAGACCCTTCTGGGAGATGAATTAATGAAACAATCAATAAAAGTACCATTTCCGTTTTTTAAACGTCTTCTACTTAGCAAATGGAGAATGTTTCTTCAATCAAATGATTTTTTTTGTTCCTTTTTAAATTACAGGACCTATAATTCTCTGGATCATTTATCTCTTACTTTGTTGAGAATGGATGGGTGAATTAATTGAATACTATTCATCCAATTCAATGTGAACAGTGAATTCATGAATCCTTTTAAAACTCTGCCCCACATTTAAATTAGTCTTAAAAAAAAAAAAAAAAACCACTCTGGTGTTGGACACGGTTTCACTTGATCTCCATTTAGCAGGGACTACCCTCTCACTGATCCCTTGCCTTTTCTGGCCACCATAGCTGGGTGCCAATCGGTGTTCATAAAGCCACTAGTGTAGCTCATCTGGAATGTCTAAAAAACAAAATGATTTCTACCTTATTTTGTTAGCTGAAGAAGAATAGAGAGCCTGTGGGATGGGAAGAATGGATCTGAGATCAAATTTTGGTTCTGACTCTAACGAGTTACATCCTCCTTAAACAAAGGGCTCTTACTCTGTTAAGGTGGCCAAAAACTGGTGCCTACTTCATGAGTTGTGAACATTCATGTATGTTCGATATATGAGCTAAGTCCAGCACACTGTGTACATGCACACAGCTGTGAAGTGAGGGTTTCTGGGTCTCCCAATGCTCCCCAACTTTCAGCCCACCTAGGAAGGAAATGAGACCCTGGGAGTTCTCCTGTGTGACTATCTATACACCTGCCTCACCAGACTGCTCTCAACTGGAGACAAAGGGCCTGTATTTGGATCAGTGATGCCTCTGGGCTTCTTGTTCTCCACAGGTCTAGGTGAAACCCCTTCCAGAAGAGGCAACTCCACCAACTTCAGCTGCCATCTGGGCCTTCCTGCCCCTTAGCTCAGTTAGTAACACATTATAGTGTGGAAGTCCCAGAGCAAAACAGTGTCAGGAGGGCTCTCTACAGCTGGGAAGGGTGTGGGTCTGTTGGGACACAGAATCCTTTGTTCAGCTCCAGGGTCAGGGTGATGGAACCCTGAAAGCCAGATTCCCATTTTCTTGAGAAATCATCACTGTCATGAAGTTAACACAGAATAGCAAAATACAGGCTCTTCTCAAATACCCCATCTCCATATGTGTGTGGCCCATTTTTATGATAAGAAAACTGAGGCAAATGGCTCAGCATTTAATCCAGGCTGCCTTCTTTAATTTGTCGTTGACATTTTTCTTGTGTCACACTTTCTTCCTCCAAATTAAGCTGCTTGGTAACTTTGTGGATTGGATGTCCTGAAATGATACATCCTCCTAGACAGTCAACACTACCCAATTGACAAGTATTGAAAACTTTTATTAATACTCAATTCACTGTGTCCGCAGCTGAGAGCCGGGGGACTCCCCCCTGCTACAGGCAGAGGGAAAACCTCATTTTGAGCCAAGCTTCTCTAGCTGGAAATACCAGCCCCAGGTGCTCCCATCTCTGCCCAGCCTGCAGTCTGTGATTAGGGGCCCTAATGGCCATAATGCCTCCAATGTGGTGTTTAAGCCAATAAGGCTTCAGAGAAGTTACGGTATGTTTAATAATGGCTTAATGACTCCTTGTGAGATGCAAGGCTTCTGGTTCCTGTTTGGCCTTGATTTACAGCCCAACTCTGGCTGAGGACAGCCAAGAAACCCCCTCTAAGCCTCCAACGGAAGAGGGAGGTGTTCACACCAGGCCTCTTGGATTCCTTTAAAAATTGAGAATTCAAATGAAATACAAATGACATTGGGCTCCCCACCCCTCTTCGCTAATCTCCAGGGGCACTAAAAATATAAATGGTTTAACCTAAGGGATCTTTAAACTGGGGTCCAAAGGACCTCTGACATTTCCTCCCAAATTTTAGGCAAGGCAAGGGCTGTTCTATTTCAGAAAAGCTAAACTATACGCTAATCCCAGGTTTCCTTGGTCTGGGGAGACTCACCTCCTGGGAAATGCGTCCTACCCTCTCTATGTCCAAAATAGCAGGCCTGAAAGAGTCCCTTTGCAGTGGATCCCTGGACACCCTGAAAGGCATGCACTTCATGCTACTCAAAAGGACAATGATCCTTCTACTTCTCCCATACTTGACCCAACAGCTACCTGGGAAGAGCACTGTGAAGTCCTGGGAGCCTGCCTGGCTTTGGAATTTACCTCCGATGTGTAGAAGGACCTCCACAGTCAGATGAAAACACTAGCTGATGGGTTCAAGGCACCAAAGCAAATTAATGGTAGTATTCGGGCTCAAGTCCCCACTTAGTTTAGCTGATCCCACAGTGTCCGATCACTCATAAGCCTATGCAAAAACAAGTATTTAAGACTGATGCGCTTGCGTTTTCCCCCAGCTACCAGCAAAAGAGCCGGGTGAAGGGTAACTCAACCACTGTAGGGGGCTCTCCTCTCAGGTCACGTCAGATCAGGCCTCAGAGAGTAAGTTGGAGGAGGGCAAGTCTGCCCATGCTGCCTCACCTCCCCAGAGACTAGAGCCACTAAGATGGATCTCAGGGCTCCGGGTGCAGCTCAGAGCCGAGGACTCACCCGGACTGGTAGACAAAGGGGATTCTGCCCTCGAAAGGAAGCTGTCTTCCTCTTCCTCTCTTCCAACTGCTTGTGATACCGGCCTGGGGTGAATCAGGGGGTTCCTGGGCTCCGAGGGGTTAACCCGCGCGGGGCCGCACGTGACGTGGATAGTTCCAGCATTAAGTCAGAGGCGCGGCCCCCTCTCCTGCCCCCCACCCCCCGCGGCGCGCGCCGCTCCCGGGGGCTCCGCGCCCCCGAGCCCAGGTCCCTCCCCCTTGGCAGGCGCTCACAGGCCGCGCGGGTAGCGGGAGCCCCGGAGCCCCGGCGGCCTGCGAGCCCGGAGCCGGCATGGACCCTGAGCGCTGCGCGCCTTTCGCGGTGGGGCCGGCAGCCGGTCCCTATGCGGCCGCGGGGGACGAGCCTCCGGGCCCCCAGGGGACCCCCGATGCTGCGCCTCACCTGCACCCCGCGCCACCCCGTGGCCCACGGCTGAGTCGCTTTCCGGCCTGCGGGCCCCTGGAACCCTACCTCCCAGAGCCCGCCAAGCCGCCCGCCAAGTACCTGCAGGACCTCGGGCCGGGCCCGGTGCTCAACGGCGGCCACTTCTACGAGGGCCCCGCGGAAGGTAACGCGCAGCCGGTCCCCGTGTCGTTCCCTCCCCCGGTCCCTCTTGGTTTCTCCGACCCCCTCTCCCACTTTCCTGCTTCTCACCCTTGAACCCGCCTCGCATTTCCCACGGTTCCCTCGCTTGATCGCTGCTGGCCTGGGCGGGCAAGGCCAATGCAGTGGGGACAGCAAAGTCGCCCGTGTCCCGGCTGCGGCGGCGACGGGAGGAGGGAGGTCAAAGGAGGGTTCGGTGGCAACGATCTTGGGCCCGTTCCGGCCCTGAAGCGACAGGACCTGAAAAGAGGGATCGTGCTCAGCCGGAGCCCGGCCTCTGCTGCCACCGACTCAGAAGCGGGGACCGGGTCGAGGGCCCGGGAGCCTCACTGGGCCTCGACGCTGGGAGAGGAGAGCTTGGCTTTTGTGTCTGGCGCCCGCTGAGGGCGCAGAGGGTGGGTCTCGGCTTAGTGGCCAAGCTGGACTCAGCGAAGGGCTGCGGCCTGAACTTACCCAGCTCTCCACGTCGGTCCCAGTCTCTTCAGGAAAGGGTGCTGCCGTTGCCCCTAGACGCTCCGCAGAGCGGCCGTGGTTGATTCCCTTCAGTGCCGGGACCGTCGTCAAGATCGCATAATTATGTTTTGTTTCTCAGACTAACCTGGCCTCCCCGTCACGGGGATGGCCGCCCTCCTTGCAGTTGGCATTCCGGCACCGGATCGCCACCTCTGAGCCGTCGGAACAGTCCTAAACCGCAGGGCGCTTCCCGCTCTGGGCAGGGTGCCCTGTGTGCTAAGGCGGGCGGACCGTGCCGTTATCTGAGAATGTGCCTGAATGGCCCGGCCAGGCGACACTGGTTTGCCGCCCACTGTACCCACTGACCCACGAGAGTCTCAGCTCCCACGCCCACCCCTTGTACGCTGCCACATTTCGCAGCCCAGACTCAGAGCTGGGTCTCCGAAGATCCGCCCACGAGGCAATCGCAGGCCTCCTTGGAGTGGCTGGGCAGCGAACAGCTCCGGCCTTCGTCTGGTCCGGGTGGTGGGAGTGTGCAGGGGAGGCCCGGGAGGTGTGTCGGGGTCATCGGAGGAAATGAGCAAGTCCGCGGAGCTTCGCGTCTAATGCCCTTTGAACGAGGCTCTCCTGATAAAAACCACAGTTGGGACTTAATGAGAAGCAGTTGGCCTGGCTCCTCTGATCCCTGCCAGACGGCGGCATCCGCACAGCGCCCAGAGCACCGCCAGGGACAGGTACCGGCTTGGGTCAGTGTCGCACCCAACAACACCCACCCACAGTCCATCATCCCAGCCGCTGAACAGCATCTTGCACCTACTGTTCGGGTTCTTGGACAGCCGAGGGGCTGAATGCATGACAAAAAGCAGTGAGGCTGAATAGGCGGGCGGCCAGTCTGTTCTCACAACGAAACGTGGCAAAAGAAAGTAAAACGGCTTAAGCAACAGCCTAAAGTGAGATGGACAAGTTGGACAAAACAACGGATTAGAAGTTGAAGAACAAAGGTAACGGGCGAAGTCAGTCGGTGGGTGGACAGAGGAACGAAAAGGAATAAATGGATGAACGAAAAGAGCAAACAGCAGATCGAACGAAGCGGGTAAACGAGGAAGCAAAAGACACATACAGACATACAGCAGAGAGAGAGAGAGAGAGAGAGAGAGAGAGAGAGAGAGAGAGAAAGAGAGAGAGAGAACAAACGAAAGAAGAGGGTAAGAGGGTACTTTCTAAAGGGAGAGCGCACACCAAATAGGAACAAATGAGATGCGAATATTAATGATTTGGGTTGTGCGAGGGATGGGCAAAAGAGGTGCAGCGGTGCGAGCTGAAGCCTGGGCTGGGATCCTGGCCGCTGCTCCCTCTCGATAACTCCCTGGTCTTGGTTGCATGTGGATCCTTAGTAAAGGTACCCCACCACCACCACACACACACAAACATACAATGTCCCTGTCTTTAAAGTATCATTCTCGGAGCAGAGCATTGGCTGGCCTTTGCCTGGCTCACTCCCGAATAGTGTCGCATCCTGCCTGCCTCTGGCCGCACTTTGCAGAGAGCGCCCTGCCCTTCTCCCAAGGCGGGCCTTGTTTCATCCTTTCCAGACACCGTGTACCCTGCTCCTGTAGTACCTGTGTGGGCAGGGTGGTTCCTTCCAGCTTCTCCAGGGCTGCCAGTTTGTTACTAAGCTTGGCTCTCTGACCTGGGAACGAATCCTCTGGAAATTATTCCTGCTGGAGTTCTGCTCGCCTGCCTCAGTTGAGAGCCACAGCCCTAAGACCTGACATATTCGGGAGAATTTAAGTCCTTGGCCAAGAACCTCTAAGGAGAACACCATCACCTCGCTAGCGTCCCTGAGCTTGACACTAATTATGAACTTAAGGCCTTCTGCTAAAGCCACGGTCAGAGCTGAGGAGGTCCAGAGTTCAGAGACTACTGACTCATTTAGAGACCCCACCATGATGACAGAAAACGGTGCACTTTAGAGCAAGACTGCCATGAACGCTGAAAACCAGGTGGCTGATTCTGTGACACAGTGGATGCCAGGGACCTGGACTTTGGAGCCTTCAGGATTGGTACAGCACACCATCCAAGCTTGAGGTGGCTTGAGACAGACTGTGGTAGGGCTGAGATGTGCTTCTCCCTGATCAGGGATGCACAGGTTTGAAGGCCAGGTCAGAGATAAAGAATCCTGACCCTGATGGCACATTAAAAGTCCCAGTTCTTGCACCTGGCTTTCACTCTTACAGAGTGCTATTGCATCCCTGCTGTTGTGCAGGCTCCGGACACTCCTTATACACTTAGCTTCAGGCTCCCGGTGAACAACAACCAACTGGAGTACTTACTCTCTCTGGACCACCCCCAGTGCACTGTAGTAACTGACAATAGTTCAAACCTCAAATGGGCCCTCCTGAACCGTACAACCTTCCCCTGGCAAGCTCACACTGCTGGTGTCCACTCCTGGACTGCCTTTCCCATGGCCATTCTCCCCGTTTCTTCCTTTTCTGCCTCTGCTCTCCCTAGGCCTGACTCTTCAAGAAGCTGCTTGGGGAGCACTGAAAAGTGGCCCTATCCCTGCAGTCCTCCAGCTAGACCAAGGAGGTTTTAGGGAAGCAGTTGTCTGTCTCTTGGAGAGGACCATAGAGGGGGCAGGCTTGAGAGGAGCAGAGGCCAGCAGCCTTAGCCTCTGTTGTGCAGACAGCAGCTCTGCTGTGATGTGATCTCTTGACTGAGCTCTAGATCAGAGTATTTGGGCTCTTATGGGAAGAGATGCTGAGGGTAAGGAAGCAGAAAAGCTCTCTGTAGTGGAGTTAGCACTCCTAAGCCCTGCCCTGACTTCTCACCCATTTTCATTCTGAAGTCCATCCTCCCTGCCCTGAGAACCCCAGACACCAAGGCTCTTCCCTGCCAGGACCTTTTGGATGACCCATCCCAAGCTCCCGGTTCTCTCTGACAATTTATTATTAGTGGTTTGACTTCTTTGATTCTTCCTTCCCAGAAAACAGTGCTACCTCTCCTCTCCAACCAAAATGAGATGATGGGGAACAGAGTGTAAGGACTGCAGTGTGACTCCTCTCTGTGTTACCTGTGGGTCACGAAGCAGATCTCACTAGCCAGAGGCCAGGCCTTGTGCGACTGTCCTAGGTCTTCAGAACACACATGGGAAGCTTATTTCACAGCCTGGGTGGTCCCGAGGGGGCACTGACCCCCTCCAGTTGAAAAGGACCCAAGTTGTCTTCCAGTTAGGGGTCATCTGACTCAATGTACCCCTCCACACACACACACACACACACACACACTCACAGCTGTGATCTTGACATTAAGTCTCCAGCAAGAAACTGCTTCTTAGTAGTAGGCCTCCTGAGGGCCAGGCCCCGTTGCCGATGGGCCTGGGGCCAAAGAAGGGGCCCTCTGAGTCAGCAGGGCGTCTTCTTGGCGTCCCTGTGGCTTCCATCCCAGCAGACGGTTGAGGAGGAACTTTATGGGGACACGGCTGGGGGTCTTTTCCAGTGGGAAAGGGTGGGGGATGATTGTGGTGACCTATTTTTCACCATGCCAGGTCAGTCATATGGGGTTCCGGAGTGAGAGAGGGCATCTCAGAGTGAGGAACTGTTCCCAGCCTGCCGTAGAGCCCTCCCTACCTGTTCATGAAGGAGATGAGGGAGCAGTCAGAAACTCCTGAGATGCCAGGGCAGACAGTGCGGGATAAGAGGGAAAGGGAGTTGTGGTACAGGTATCTCAGAGCTCCTCCAAAGCTCAGCCTATCCAGCTTTCCCCTTTCTATTCTGGAGCTTGAGTTCTTGCTCTGACACCACCACTTTAGAATGGATGAAGACAGGTGATTCTTAGGGAATCATCATCGTTCCAGCTCACTCTTCATACTACAGAGTTAGGAAAATTAATATTAATGTGAGACTTGGACTTAAAGGAATGAGGCACAGGGAAACCAGCCAAAGGTGGTCTATGTGTCTCTGTCCATGCCTGCCTGGCTCTGGTAGCAGAGGCATGAGCCCGAGGGCCTGGGAACCAAGGCTGGGACAGCCAGAACAAGAGAGCACTCTAGAAGGGGTGGGAGATGTCAACTACCCATCCTTAACCCCTGCCCCCACTCTTGGCCCTGCTAGGGTGGCAGTCTCTACAGTGGCGCCAATCCTGGCACCTCCCCACCCTGTGGGACACACCACCACAGAGCACTTCCCCGAAATGAACCCCCCTCTGGCCCTAGAAGATCTGCCCAGACCACAGAGCACATGGTTCCCTAGGGCCCCCTCCCCAGCTGGAGGCTCAGCAGTCAGGCCTCTGAATGCCAGGCTCCCAGGGAGGGTGGTTGCCAGGAGGAAGAGAAGGGGAAGGAGGAGGCGGGACTGAAGCTTCAATGCTCTCTCCCTCGCTCTTTTCCACCCACAAAAACCCCTGTTAGGTTTCCATCCTCCTTTTTGTGTTTTCCATTGCAGCTGAGGAGAAGGTCTCCAAAGCTTCCAGTTTCCCCCAGTTGCCGGTGGACTGCAGAGGGGGTCCCAGAGACGGGCCCTCTAATGTGCAAGGTTCCCCAGGACCCTGCCTGGTCAACTTGCGCGTCCCTCTTTCCCCGGGACTTTCTGACTCCATGGAGTTGGCCAAGAGCAAGAGCAAGAAGCGCCGGAACCGCACGACCTTCAGTACATTCCAGCTGGAAGAACTGGAGAAAGTCTTCCAGAAAACCCACTACCCTGATGTGTACGCCCGGGAGCAGCTGGCTTTGCGCACGGACCTGACTGAGGCCCGGGTACAGGTGAGGACACAGTGGGCACCAGACTCCCTGGCTGCCACAGCCACTCAGGCCATGGGCCAGACCAAAGGAGAGCTAGAAGTGAACACCAGGCCCTCCTGGAAGCTGGCCTTTGTAACCCAGTCTTCACACCAGCTCTGCTGCGGCCACAGACTTTTCTCTATTTCTAATGAAATACATCATTGGGTCAAGCCGTAGGCATAAGCTTGCAGGTAATGGTCTCTTGGAGTCCAAGTATCTGTACGGGAGTCCTGTATTGTTTACTAGCTAGCCAGTGATCCTGTTGCCCACTTTTGGAAAAGGAATTACCAGTAGCAAGCCAGAGAATCTTTGAGGGTCACCAGTTGCAAGAAGTGAGTGCTGACCATCTGTCAGTGCTACTTGTGAGGTGACTGGCCAGAGGGGGAAGGTTGCTGAAGGGTATGTCAGACTCATCATGAACCAGCCAACAACCAACTTAGTTAGGACTTGACCGGGAACCCTTCCCTCTCCAAAAGGCTCATCTGTACAAAGAATGACTCTCGGGGTCTTTGGTCATTGCCACTACTTCACATAGTGGGGAGCCCAGCCAGTAAGGAGGAAGGAGAAAAGGGTGGGTGGGTGCTGGGAGAGGGAGAAGGAAGGCTATGCCCAGTCATGTTGGAAGTGATGGAGAACAGGAAGGTGGCGAGCAAGGCTCTGATGGAAAGGATCTTCATTAAGAGTCTGGCTTAAAAGGAAGACTGGTCATTTGTGGCCTTGCTGGGATTCACAGTTTAGTGAGAACGAGCTCCCCAGTGGCAGAGAAGGAGGCACTGGAAGGGGTGTTTGGGGTCCCAGAGAAAAGTGAGGTCACTGCTCTGGCAGAGGAATCACTGCCACCATGAGGGGCGAGAAGGGAAGCTCCTGTTTATCACTCCGATGAGGGGGCCCTTCCAGAGGCTCCGGAGAAGACGCTAGGGTGGGGGTCAGGTCTAGTAGACTATGGGGTCCCACAGGCCACTCTGTAGAAGCCAGCACCATTGATCGATCACAGCAGCCCTGACAACCAGATCCAAAATAGGACCAGAAGGGCTCAGGGTGTTTCCTGTCCTCTGGTATGTCCTCCTGCTTTCTTGTTCCATCTAGGCAGCAGCTACAGCTGTCCTCTATGACTATTCCCCCAAGGTTCTTCACACTATGGGAACAACCCGTGATTTTATAAGCGAAGGAAGCCCAGCATGGGGAGTTTCTGGAGTGTCATATTGGGGTGGTGGCTGAAGTGCTCTCCCCTGTGGGAATGTGTGGGGTGTGGGACAGGGGCACCTCCCTCACTCCTTTCCTAGCCCCCCTTTTCCTTCTTTTATTTTCATTTTATTTTTACTTTTTTTTGGGGGGGGTAGTTGTTTTGGAAACAAGGTCTCATTCTGTCCAGTACCTAGGCTGTCCCAGGATTCATTCTACAGTCCAGCTGGCCTCAAACTAAAGATTCTTCTACTCCCGAGTGCGGGCAATAACACACATTATAGGCATGAGCCACCAGGCCCAGCTCCTCGGCCTTTTGATCCTGTAAGACAGGAGTAGTCACAGGACTCCCAAGCTCAGTCCAGAAGCCTCCTCAACCACCAAGGCTTCAGAGAATGGGGAGATTCTCCTCTGACAGGAGCATGACTCTCACCATAAACCCCACCCCATAAAGAGGACTAATTAAGACCACACATGTGACAATGGAGAGGGCAAGTTCCAAACCCAGGCAGAGGTCCACAGTGGAGAGGCTCCAGGGGGCAATGGGTAGTGACAGAAAAGTAATTCCCAATAAAGGCCCAACTGCCTAAAGAGAAGGGAGAAGAGAAAAGGGTATTCATGGTGGACACTCTCGACTTCGGCCAGGCCTGCCCTGGGATCCCAGCAACCTGGAAGATAGGAAAATAGGGGATGCATGTTCTCTTAATTATCAAGTTACTGGCCTATGTGAGTAGAGATTACCATGGAGAAAGGAATGGCTGAGGGCTGGGGAGTCCCCATTCTTAACAGTGTAGCCAGGTTTACACATATAAACACACCTTCCTTTCTTCCTTCCTTCCTTCCTTCCTTTCTTTCTTTCTTTCTTTCTTTTAATGTATTTCTAGTTTGATCCCTAGAAAACAGTGGTTGGTTTTGGCTTTGACTTTTGGCAAGTTTACATGTATTTTAGACTGGCTTCAAACTGGCCTTGAACACCTAATCCTCTAGCCTCTACTTCCCAAGTTCTGGAATTACAAGCATGTATCATTACACCCACCTTGGTTTAGTTTCAATATTACCAACATCTATTCCATAGTTAACACAATATTAAATGAAAGAAATAAAATATATATATATATATATATATATATATATATATATATATACACACACACAAATAAATGAAATAGGATAGGGTGTATTCCAAATTCATCACATATATGCTCAGATGTATGTAAGACACATGGCCCCTCACTTGCCAAGAACTCACAAATGATTGAAAAGTAGACTCCCAAAGAGAGCATGGGCACAGAACGTGATGAGTGTTCTTAGAAAGGTCAGGACATTATAGAAGAACCCAGCCTGGATGACATGTTGAAGAGATGGGTAGCCCAGAAAGGGGAAACTTACTCACAGGTGGGAAGGAACAGCATAGCAGATGTCTTAACAGAGAGGTGGAGGGGGAGCTTGGAGGGCATCTAGGACGAACAGAGTGCTGTTGCCCGGAGGGACATAACACTATGGAGAGAGCAAGGGCCAGACCCAAGCAGCCTTGATAGGAAATGGGCTCTAGGCCAGGTTTCCAGGGAGCCGCTGAGGGATTAGATAGGACCATGACCTGAATAGGAATGCCTTAACTGAGTAGGAATGCTTTAATTCATTGGATGCTACCAGGTGGATCAACCAAGACTCTTACTCACACACTGGCATAGCTAGGAGGCATCCTAGGCCACCGAGGCCCACAGGTCCCCTTCCCCTACAACACTGTGACAAGACCTAGCCAGGCTGGAGATGAAGAGAATGAGTCATCCTGGGGAATGGTTGCCGGGGGCCCTGGGGGCCAGTAGTCCTGCTTTGGGATGAGGCCTCTCCCAGGCACCCTTCCCAGGCTCTGCTGGCCCTGGGAACGGTGAGGATTTCTAAGATCCTGCCACTTGGGATTTTCTGGCTTGGATCTAGATCCCAGGAGAGGACTCAGTGATTACTCTCACCCATTAGGCTCCAGTCATCAGGGCTGCTCTGGCATCCCTTAACCCTCCCCAATGGTCCTGTCCCCAGGTCTGGTTCCAGAACCGCAGAGCCAAGTGGCGGAAGCGGGAGCGTTATGGGAAGATGCAGGAGGGGCGGAACCCTTTCACCACTGCCTATGACATCTCTGTGCTACCCCGAACTGACAGCCATCCTCAGGTGAGACCTTTAGTCCCACCCTTCGACAAGGTTTGTGCCTGACTCTGGGGTTGCCGGTGAGAACATGTGCTCTGGGGGAGGGGGCTACAGCATCTTCTGCAGCATCCGGGTGCTGTGTGATGTGGGCGATTCCCTTAACTTCTTGTGCACAATAAGGCTATCACCTACTCTGATACATATAGAACATGGGAGAATTAAAGAAGACAGTATAGTTCTGAGGGGCCATGGTGGGGATACCCTGGATGTCAGTCAGCATGGGTGGTACGAGGGATGGTCCTGGGTCCAGTGGAGAGGCTGAGGATGCTTCTGAGACTTCAAGGACAATGAGAAAGCCACCAGGGTAAGGCACTCAGTTTCTGGAGCAAGCAGCTCATAGCCCTTCTTCCTTCTCTTTTCAGCTGCAGAACTCCCTGTGGCCCAGTCCAGGGTCTGGGAGCCCAGGGGGGCCCTGCCTCATGACTCCAGAGGGCATCCCCTCTCCATGCATGTCTCCATACTCCCACCCCCATGGAAATGTGGCTGGCTTCATGGGAGTGCCAGCCTCCCCTGCAGCCCACCCTGGCATCTATTCCATCCATGGCTTTCCTCCTGCCCTGGGAGGGCACAGCTTTGAGCCTTCTCCGGATGGTGACTACAAGTCTCCAAGCCTCGTCTCGCTCAGGGTGAAGCCCAAAGAGCCCCCCAGCCTGCTGAACTGGACCACGTGATGGGTTACACAGACACACACTGAGCTGCTCACTCCTCTTCCTGCTCTCGCCTGCTCCTCGCCCATCTCTTCCTGGACACCGGACAGCAAACCCTTCTGCCTCGTGTCCTGAGTGGTTCCAGAAGCTTGGAAGAGAAGCTGGGACCCTCAGCCTCCTTCAGGGATCAAGCTACAGGGTCTTGTCTCTTAAAATAGGTGGGGCTGCCTGAAGAGACTTCAAAGCATGCAGGACTCTTCCTTATAAACTGGGTCTCCTCTTTCAAATTGGGCTAGAGAAAAGGTGACAGATGCTTGTTTCCTCAACACTGTTTCTAAGTCCAGGGGAGTCAGACCAGAAAGATGGGAGGAAGATGCAGACTGAGCAGGGAGGAGCTCTCTGTGGCACTTAGGCCTGGCCTCGCTTCTGCCTTTCTACCACCAAGGGGCATTCTCTAAGTGCCTGGAGCTGACACGTGCCTAGAGGGTGAAGGTCAGCTTAATAAAAGGTGGGGGTCTCCTCTGCTCCAAGCATCAGAAAAATCTTTCTGCCCCATACCCAGTCTATCACATACTGTGGAGTCATTTTCTCCAAGGAGGGAAGAAATTCCACCAAACATTGTATATTTGGATTTGTTTTCATGGGATCAGGCCAGGGCTATGTCATGGAAACCATATTGGATGTTGATCAAAATAAAACAGAATTTTTTTTTTTTAAGTCTCTGAGCCCCTGTGACCCAAATCCCGAGTTTTGTAAAGATGCTTTTGTTTTGTAGTAATAAACGCAGTGGTGTTTTTTCATTCTAGTGGCTGACTGTCTATCCCCAGCGTGTGATCCTCGGTTGCTTTAGGGTTAACCTGTATCTATCTATGATCTAGGCTGGGCCATGCCCTCTTGTGGAACAATATGAATCCAGGGACACATAATAGAGGGATGCAGTGTCAGTGTCAGAACCCTCAAGGTCAATGTCATCTGTATCAGCTAGGTGGCTTTGGCCGGTCCCAAGGGGCTCTAAAGCGCTAGAGCTCATTTGTTTGGCAGGAAGTTTTGGGGTGGGAACAGGAGTAAGAAAGTTGAGGAAAGCTTGTGGTTGAACTGACCACAGAGAGAATGGAAGGACAAGGATCTTATGGAGGTTTTGAGTGCCTGTGGGCTGGGACCCCAAATGCTGGGGTGGGGCAGCTGTCTTCTCCCAGATGCCCCGAGAGCATGTCTGAGCTGTGGGGCACAGACAAAAGCCAGAACTCTTTCTTGTGGTTTTAGAGTATTACCCATTCTATCCCTCATCCCCTGCCTTATCTCTGGAGCCTGGAAGGCAGGAAAAAAGCAGGCCTGGCCCTCCCACCCTCCCAGTAAACACAACCACATTGCTCAGAAGAATTCCACTCAGCTCGGCCCAGCCGTCCCCCACCCCACGCCTCATCTTTCAGGCACAGAAAACGCCAAGCACACAAAGACACATCGGGGCTGTCTTATTCCCAAGGAGGGAACCAGTAATCAACATCAAATTTCCTAGCCAAGACTGTTACCATGAGGTGGCCATGCATCCCCATGGAAGTGAGTACCTCCCTTCTCTCTTCCTTTCCCAGAGAAAGCTTCTGGCAACTTCCTTCTTCTCTGCCCTGACACTGGCAAAAAAGAGCCTGTCTAGAGCTACCATTCACTGATAAGCCTCCTAGACTTTTACCCCCCCCCCATTCAGTAAGGGGCTCAAGTCCACATGGCTGATTCCAGGGTACATACCACTTCCCTGGAAATGTCTTCATCCAAGGAATGGTCAGTGACATTTTGGCCCTTATGCCCTACAAAAGTCAGAGAGCTATTTGTATTAGTCGGTTCTCTTGCTATGACAAAAATCCAGGAAGGACTTATTCTGGCTCAGCCTTTTTGTTGTTATTTTGTTTTGTTTCAGAGACAGATCTCTCTGTGTAGCCTTGACTGTCCTGGAACTCGTTTTGAAGACCAGTCTGGTCTCAAACTCAGAGATCTGCCTGCCTCTGCCTGGAATTAAAGATGTGGACCACCACGGCCCCGCTATGGTACAGTTCACACTGTGCTGGGGGACATATGGCAGCATGAGGCAGCTAGTCACACTGTTCACAGTTCAGGAAGCACAGAGGAGCCTGCAGCTCAGGTCACTTGCAGTCTGTCACCCCAGCCTGAGGGACGGCATTGGCCACAGATGAAGAAAGATAATGGTTTGTTATAGAAACGCATGTTGCAATCCTACTCCATGCTGGGAATTGTGCTTTTCCAGAGACAGGGACAATCAAGAAACACACATTTCTTTTCTCCTAGAAAGTTCAGAAAGAGAGAAAGATGGAAGGAGCAAAGTAGAGAGACTCTGAAGCTCAAGCAGAGGAAGCTGAAATAAGGACAGAAGAAAATGACATTGAGTCCAGGATCAGCAAGAGTGGTAGAGCCTACAGAGGCCATGGGCAACGCTTAGAGGGACCGTGGGGAGGGCACAGGGAGGCCGGATGCTGGCTACTGGCTCCCATCCAGGTGCATCTGCCCACAGCTCATATTTTTCTGTTCAGTGACAACTAAATGAAGAGAAAGCTAACTTTACAACCGCCCACTTCACACATAATGAATACGAATGGGCACCCCGGAGCCTGTCTCACGGGATTATCTGTGAGCTGACAGGTCCTCCCACCGACTGGGTCATCCCAGCCAGCCTGTCCCCTGGCTGGGGCACAGACAGCCCCTCACCTGCTTCCCATTAGCCATACACCCCTCCTCCTCCATGCCTTTAAGACACAGCCCCCAGACCTCCAGATACCCTGCCTCCAAGCTCACTCTAAAGGCCATCCAAGACTCCCCACTAGATCCTGTCTTTTACCAAGGTTGGGCTGGGTTTCTGCTCATTCCTGGCCTCACTACCCAGAATCCCAATTTGAGGAGGGTTGTTGTACTCAGTTTGTCTTTTCTGAGGCTCTTCTTGGTCCCACTGAGACCCAAGCACAGGTCAAAGGTGGTTCCAGTTGTGGTGCTGCACACCAGGAGGGCATGACGAGGAGATGAAGGTAGCAGGGTCACAGGTTCCATCTTTAAATCTCGGTTGTGACGGGTATATTGACTCCACAGAAGAACTGCCGGGCCCTAGCCAAGGTGACACATTAGTCCAGGATTCGACCTCTGTCAGCAGCAGAGACTGTTTCTCATAGGAGGTATTTAGTTGTCTTTCCTCACCTTCATCAGGCATCGCCACATCAACCTGAATTAACAACCCAAAGTACAGACTCTGTGGCCCCAGACAGGAACAGAACCCTGCCTAGACAGGACTTGAATAGACATTTTCCTGACCCAGTTGAGGAAGCAGATAGCCTACCCTTGCCCTAGCCTTCTTGGCTCCCTTCCCACTCCATGACTAGGCTTCCCCAGCCCAGTCTCTTGTCCAGGAGGAAGGCATGGACTCTGGAACCCATGGTGGGACCTTTGGATGGAATGGTAGACTGTGGTACCCTCTTTACCTGGATCTTCAAGGCTCTTAGCACAGCACCTGGTCCAGTGCAGAGGATGGAAGGAAGTTCTGTCCTGCAAGGGCTTGTTTGCTAGGAGATACAGGAAGTATATGCAAATTCTCAGGTCAGAATTAGAAGGGCATCAGCAATGCTAATGGTTACCTATTTATAGTTGTCCTTGTCAGCCAGGTATGAGACTCCATTACCTGTTAGCCTATTCGGTCTTTGCAACAGCTGCTATCACTAAGGCAAACATTACAGGTAATGAGGTTTGGAGCCCCATTAGCTCAAGGGATACTCAGTGAGTAAAGGTCAAGGCTTGAATTGAAGTCGGGGATAGTTGAGTGTGGCAGCACCCACTTTTCATCCAGAACTTCAGGGGCAGAGTCAAACTACAAAGTTAGTTCCAGGATACCAGGACTACATAGTGAGATCCTATCTCACAAGGGGGTTAAAAGTCAGAGCTGTCTGACTCTCAAGGAAACAAACCCCTTTGGAGAGCAGCAGCCTAAAGCTGACTGTGCCAAATGATGATGGCTGCTACTGTCTAGTCAGTTCATTACAGAGTACACAGGAAGACAGCCAGAGGAAGAAACCCAACATGACAGCAGTGGTAGCTAGCAAGAGTCCAGGAGAGACATAAATTGATGCTCAAGGCTGGATCAAATGGCACTGACCTGTAATCCCATTTATTTGGAAGATTGAGGCAGGAGGATCAAGGCCTGCCTGGGTTACAAGTCAGTTCAAGGTCAGACTGCATAGACTTAATGAGACCTTGCCTCAAAATAAAAAGTAGAGAGTGCTGAAGAGGCTCTGGATTCAACCCCACATGTGACAAACAAACCAAAACCAAAACACAAACTCACTGCAGTAATCCAAGTTACAGTGAGGGTATACTCAGGATTAGCCAATAGCTAAAACAAGGCTAAACCTGGGTGGCCCAGTTAGGGCCTAAAGCAAAGGACGTTTGTCATGAATCATCTGTTCTAGGGACCATGTCAGAGCCAGTACCAAGTAAATATGGTAAACAAATGAACAACTGAGCAGTGGCGGTGAGTGCCAAGGGATGGCAATGATTAAGAAGGTGGGGGTGGGGAGTGCATGGGTACTGCAGAGATTGTGTTTGAATCATGGCTCTATCCCTTAGTATGCCCTGGAGCAGGTTCACTACCCCTTCTGTGCCAATTTGCACATCTGCAAAACTGGGCTTATAGCAGCATTTACCTTTCATGGTGCATTAGCTACTTTTCTTGTTGCTATGGCAACATACCTGGCAAAAGGGACTTTGGGCTCACAGTTTTAAGGGACACAGTCATTGTGGAGGAGGCACGGTGGCTAGTCACCTTTTTTTTTTTTTTTTTTTTTTTGATCACAGAAAAACAGGAATGAATGCTGGTGTTCAGGCCACTTTCTTCAGATGATTCTAAATCCGGTTACATTCTAAATCCATCACACAGGGCTATTAATGACAGATGTTCTGTTCAGCCTTACTATGTAGATGATGTGACTAAGAGACACCTAATAGTGCATCTGGTCCCTGTTTAGCATCCAGTAAGTGAATCTTTGAGATGATACAAGCCTTGGGGTAATCTATCCCTTGGTACATTAAGGAACATTGGACCCTTCTGGGTAAC